ATTCAGCTCGTCATATGTTGACTTGACAGTTCCGGATATAAAATCCTCATCAGGACAGCTTGAAAAATTGTTTAGAACTGAATCTTTCACACAACAGTCAACACTTAGACTTTTGAAAATGAAATGAGATGAAATATTCCCGTCCTACTTTTTTTTGCGCCATATTGTGCTATTGAAGGGGGGCAACGCCATGCAGTGTACAATGTGGAAAAGTTTGTAATTAGCCTACTCTTTCTCGATGCACACGGGCATCAGTTTTGTGTCCCATCTGAACGACCAGAGGGTCAGCCCCTCTGACCTACATCAACTAGGCCTATCACTTTTTCGAGGCATCGGCGGAAATGTAAAAAAATTAAGCAAACTCACCGAACAAGAGTCCGCTTCTGTTAATTTGGTAGTTGATTCTATTGGGGGAAACACAGAGAGAGTAGACACCACTGTGAAGATGCCACTTAGCCATAGATCACTGAAATAAAACGTCAAAACACAACCATCTGAAGCTGTGTTCAGCAGCCGACAAACGTCCGTAGAGTTACTTCCCTTCAACGTAAAGGGAAAGGGAAGTAACTCGGTATAAAAATCCAGACACTGATTAAATCATGACAGTGTCGTATTTTTGTTTAGGCCACTGCCAACAACAAAAGTAGTCAATTTCACTAACTAATCATTATTATTGATTTTTTCAGCCTACAATAAGAAAAGTTCGAAGACTAGGTAACTAAAATGGCAGACGACCAAAACAAAACCAACAAATCAACAATTAATTTAAAACCAATTAATACTTTTGATTTAATTTATTTCTTTATTTTATTGTATGTGAATTGTAAACTGTTTTGATTATTTGTAAAATTTATAAATAAAATTATAAAAGCATGAATCCAAAGTGTCTTTAATATCCATTTTGTTTTGTTGTGAATTTAATCAACAGATCAACCTTCAAGTGAAATGAAAGTAACTGGGGTCATTGGAGCATTTTTTGCACCGATGTTGCAACTCTTCAATATGTCGAGCAGGTGTTGGTTTATCTTCCCATCTGAATGATTTCTTGTTCAATTTTGTCAACTGATTTCAACTGATATTTACGCTCTTGCTTGATCTCAACAAATAACAATTTTACATCCATGTAGTTTAGGTCTAATCGATCAAGGATTAAGTGTAATAGAAAGAAAAAGGTTGGAAACCTCTTACTTAATCCTAGCAAGTGGAAAAATAGAATTAAACTTTATAGTCTTCCTGACTATACCCTCTGTCTTGGCTTTGTCACCCCCCCTCCCCCCCCCACCCCACTTTCAAATTTGATTATCATTTTACATAGGGAAAGAGAAGCCCGTGGCCCCCTGGAAAATTTTGTGGCCCCTGCTCGACCCCCTAACCTAATGTTTCCTAAAAAGGCCATTGCCTTAGGGGCTCAGTTTATTTTTTCCATCCGAATGAGTACG